CCAGTTCTTGGGGAATGTATAAGATTAAGATTTTTCTTTTCTTTAATAATTATTATAGGAATTGGTTAGTGGTTAATTGGCTTACCTAACGGGTTGGGTTAGCTGCCATCACGACTAGACGGATTTTGGGTCGTGACACCAACCATACCAAATTTATCAAAATCCGACCTCAAATAACCACTCAAAACCCAAAATCAAACTCTTTAAATCCCTAGCCTCAAACTTCCAAATTCTACCTTAAATACACACTAGCTAGGCAGAAAAATAATTGGGGAAGCAAGATTATTGATCAAAAAATAAGCACAAGGAACTTACCTCACGAAATCCCTCGAAAATGCTTTCAAGAAATCGCCAACCCGAGCTCAAAAATGAAGAAAATGGCCAAAAATCTCGAAGCCTCGCTTAAATGGGTTCTGCCCAGGCATTACCGCATCTGCGGACCACCGGTCGCACTGGCGATGCCGCACCTGCGGAATTACCCCTTGCAGGTGCGGAAATGACTTAAGGAGGTTGGTCCGCAACTGCGAGCAAGGGGCCGTACCTGTGCGCCCGCTCCTGCGGATATCTTCTGCTTCTACGATCCTCACGCTCCAGGCCCCGTCCGCTCCTGTGCTACATCTTCCGTGGATGCGGCTCCACTTCTGCGGGCCAATCTCGCACCTACGCCCACAAACCAAGCTTGACCAAACCGCACATGCGCTCCTCTTTCTGCATATGCGAGTCAGCACCTGCGGCCACCCCACCGCAGGTACGATTACACCAGAAGCTTGAAAGCTTCAGCAACTACACAAGTCCAAATCTCAATCCGTTAAGCATCCGAAACACACCCGAGGCCCCCCGGGACATCACCATACGGACTTAGTCGAGCACTCAACTCACATCAAACAATGCTAAAAATACGAATCACCCTCCAATTCAAACTTAATGAACTTGAAACTTCAAATTTCTACAACCGATGCTGAAACCTATCAAATCAACCCGGAATGACGTCAAATTTTACAGGCAAGTCATATTCAACATTACGGACCTACTACAACTTTCGGAATCGTAATCCAACCCCGATATCAAAAAGTCCACTTCCGGTCAAAATCTCCAAAATTTCGAGTTTCACCATTTCAAGCCTAAATCAGCTACAGACTTCAAATTCACAGTCCGGACACGCTCTTAAGTCCAAAATCACCCAACGGAGCTAACGGGACCGAGAAACTCTATTACGGAGTCTTCTTCACATAGTTCCGACTACGGTCAAAATTCTAAGGCTTAAGCTTCTGTTTTAGGTACTAAGTGTCCCAAATCACTCTGAATCATCCGGTAATTGAATTCAACCACGCACGCGAGTCAATACACATAATACGAAGCTTTTTATGGCTTTATGCCGTCGAACGAGACTTAAATTCTCAAAACGACCGGTCGGTTCGTTACATAAACTACCCGGACATAGACATAATTAGTAGCTATACACTGACTCTCGTCACCTCGTGCGTATGTAACCCCCACAATTAGGAGTAAATAGTAATTCAAATCACCTATGGGATAAATTTTCTCTTACAAGGTTAGGCAAGAGACTTACCTTGTCTTAAAGCTCACTTTCCAGCCTCAAATTCACTCTAAATCCTCAACTCGGTGCCGAACAATCCGAAACTAGCCAAATATTGTATAAATTAATCAATACATGTTCAAAAGTTCATAATTTAACTATCAGAGTAACTACCCAACCCAAATTGAAAGATTCCTAAAATTTATCCCCAGGCCCACATGCCCGGATTCCATAAATTTTCGAAGATAATTGTTACCCATAACCTTACGAACTCAAATATATAATTTTCATCCCAATCCATAATCATTTTCTTGGTTAAATTCCATTTTTATCAAAACCTAGGTTTTTCATCTAAACCCATAATTTTTATAATTTTACATGTTAAAATCTACCCATAATCTATGCATTTAGCTTATATTAGATAGAAATTACTTACCTCAAAGTGCTAGGTGAAAATCCCTCTTCCAAGAGCTATATATTCGACCAACAAGTGAGAGAAATGAAGAAATGAGCCTAAATCTCTACTTAAATGAAACCCTTCTGCCCAGTGATTTCTATGCTTTTGCAGTTCCTTGGCCGCATCTGCGGCTCCACATTTGAGAAAGGTTCATTGCTGATGCGGTCCTCCCTTAGCTGGCCTAAATTCGTATTTGCGGAAAATGGCTCGTTTCTGCGAGCCCGCTCTTGCGGCGTACGAGTCGCACTTGCGTCCATTCCCGCTTCTGCGGACCGCTGACCGCTTCTGCAATCGCGCATTTGCGCCCTCCATGTCCGCATATGCGGACTCAGCCCACGCAGCCTAAATGTGCACCTGCGGCCAACCAGTCGCTTCACAGGTGCGAATGCACCAGAAGCCCAGCTGCATCAACAGCTTTCTCTAAGTCCAACTTTGTGTGCACATCGTCTGATTGACACCTGAGGCCCCCGGGGCCTCACCCAAATACACCAACAAGTTTGTAAACATGAGACAAACTTGCTTGAACCCTCAGAATGTGGAAAACAATACCAAAACTAGGTATCACACCCCAAACCACATCGAATCAGCTTATGAACTTCAAGTTCTTCCAACTTGCTCCAAACGCGTCGAATCATACCTAAACTACCCGGAATGGTACCAAATTTTGCGTGCAAGTCTTAAATCACCTTACGGATCTATTCCTAGGCTCGGAATCCCAAACGGACCTCGATAACACCAAAATCTACTCCAAACCAAATTTAAAGAACTTTTAAACCTTCAATAAGCCAACTTTCTACTTTAGGCAGCGAACGCTCCCGGATCGTCCAAAACTCGATCCAGACACACGCCCAAGTATAAAATCATCATACGAACCTATTGGAACCGTCAAATACCAATTTCAAGGTCGTTTAGTAGAAATGTTGACCAAAGTCAAACTTACCCCTTTAAGGCCAATGTTAAGGAACTAAGTGTTCCGATTTCAACCCGAACCCTCCCAAACTCGAACTAACCATCCCCGCAAGTTATAAAACAGTAAAAACAAATATGGGGAGTGCCTTTCGGGTTTAATATTATCATTTGGTACGGGCTAAAGTTTTGCCTATCATCTAAAATGGTTAGAAAAATTCAAAAGAACAAAATAAAATTGAACTTGCGTGATACTTGACATGGGTATTTTCCTCGTCTAGAAGTAATACTTCTTCAAATGAACTGCGTTCCAGTTTGATGGTAGTAATTTTCCATCAATAGTTTCCAACTCGTATGCTCCTTTTCCAGCATTGTCATTCAAGTGGCCTTTACGTCAACTAGACATAAACAATGCCTTATTGCAAGGAACTCTCAATAAGGTTGTCTATATGCAACAGCTACCGGGTTTTGTCAACCACAACTTTCCACAACATGTTTGCAAGCTTCACAAATCCATTTATGGCCTTCGTCAAGCTCCTAGAGCTTGGTACAACGAGCTCAAAACCTTTCTTCTTTCCTGTGGGTTCCTTAGAGCAAAATCTGATGATTCTCTGTTTATAAAATGCTTTCCTAACTCGCTTCTCTTTGTCATGATCTATATTGATGATATTGTGGTCATTGGTTCCAATTCCTCTCAAGTCCAAACCACCATTCAACTCCTAGGTGATAGGTTCTCCATTAAAGACCTTGGTCCCTTGCGTTTCTTTCTTGGAGTCGAAGTTCTACGAAATGCACATAGTTTAATTCTCACTCAAAGTGGCTTTATTATTGATATCCTAGAAAAGTTTAGCATGCTAAACTCCAACAGTGTTGGCATGCCGATGTCAGTCGGTGAAGCACTCTGACTGAATGGTAATTCCACACCTATTGATGCCAAACCATATAGACAAGTTATTGATTCCCTACAATACCTAACCTTTACTCGATCGGACAGCTTCTTTGAAGTAAACAAACTTGCTCAATTTCTGCATGTACCTAGTTGGAAGCACTAGCAGGCTGCAAAACGACTTCTACGCTACCTGAAGGGCACTATAACATATGGTCTCCATTTTCATCCCAGTAGCTCACTCAAACTTCAAGCATACTCTAATGTTGACTGGGGTGGACTTCTTGATACAAGGCATTCGACTTCAACATATGTTATCCTTCTTGGAAACAATCCCATAAGTTGGTGCTCCAAAAAGTAACGGACAGTTGTTAGATCCTTCACAAAAGCTGAATATTGAGTTGTTGCTTCAGTTGTTGCTGAGCTTAATTGGATAACCAACTTGCTGAAGGAGCTTCACATTCCATTATCCAATCCTCCTATGGTTTTTTGTGACAACATTGGTGCCACTTACCTTAGTTGCAACCCAATTTTTCACAGTCGTATGAAACATGTAGCTATCGATTTTTACTTTGTTCGAGATCAAGTGGAACGCAATGAGCTCTCTGTTAATCACATACCCACTGGCGATCAACTTGCTAATGCCTTCACAAAAGCCTTGCCTAAACGATCATTTACACACTTTGTCAACAAGATTGGTCTCAAGGAGATTGAGCCCATCTTGAGGGGGCATGATAAGGATAGACACTCCTATCCTATCCAGGACTCCTAGTTTAAGTTGTATCTTATGATATTCTTTCTTATCTCCACAATAGTCTTATGTACATAGAACTTTGTCTCCTCTCTCCCTTCTCCTGTTGTACTTATATATAAACTTCTCTATTGTACTCAATATATACAAGCCTTTTACAATTCTTATCAACTCTTATAGGTTTAAGTGTAACTTGGTGATTATGACATGTTTCTGATGTCTCTAAATGCAGTAATTTTTAAAAACCTTTGTTTAGAGGTGAATACCCCAACGTGAATAGGGGATCCTAAACTGATGCACAAATTAGACCACAAAACCCAAATCGCAACACACCCTCAAATCAATGATAGAGCGAAGGAAAATAATAGACCACTGAAACTCGTATCAGAATAAACCAAGAAATCATTTTGATCTTTTTATGCAATAATAATTTTTATTTATTTTTTCAAATAACAAAGTGGACAATATATACATACCAATAGTGCATCTCACATATTGTATTTATGTAACATGTCTTCAACTGGCAGTAGCTCAGACTTGCAGCTAAGGAAAAAATACCTTCAAAAGAATGAACATCTATATTGAGCCAAATAACATTTGCGACGAAAGAACAAGCTATATCGGGCTATCTTTCAGTTAAAATTGACATCCAATCTGAAGTATAGATAGAAGAGAAGCCTATGAACATACTCATGCTTGCTAGAGAGCAGCAATATAGCTTGAATTGACATATCGAAAGCCAAAATATGCAACCATCTTATTGTGATATCCTCAAATTATCAATGTCCACCTGAATAGAAGAAGATCTTTCTCAGTAAAATCTTATAAAAATAAACAAAAAATGAACTTAACTGAAACCCCAAAAGAAAAGGGTTCAATACCTGAAGCATGTTGGCATCTGCGGATGCAATTATAAGCAATTGTTTATCTACATTAAGCCAAACGACATTTGTTTAAAAGAAAGAACAAGCTATCTTTGACATTATATTGCAGTTAAATCCAAGTTTTTGTACAATAGACGTTAGGTTAGTGACAGAGTTTCTAAATTCTAAATACACCATTCCTTTTTGTACTATTGTTATAAATAATTCAAGAAAATTGAACACGTTAGCTAGATTAATTGTCATTACTCAGTCATAATAAACCAGTGGAACTTATCTCCTACATCATTAGTGATGCCACCAAATACTCTAACATTTATATTCAGATGGCTATCAACCTAAAAGTTAAATTTCTTAATTAAAGAAGTCCAAGAAAACAAAAAGAAGGCAACTAAAGAGAAATTCAAACTATAAAATAACAGCTACAGTAAAACAATGACTAAAATATCGTACCATAGTAAAGAAAAAAGAACTCTTGTTATGTGTCGAAACAACAACTGCTAGTTTGAAGGTTAACTCCTTCACAAATATACGTAAGTGTGAACTTCAGCTAACAAATGGAACAACTACAAAGTATGCATTGTATTCTCCAATGGCATTAACAATATTGTTAATACCCTACATAACTTATATGCTTTCTTACGTACGTAGCCAAACTAAAACATCAAGACCACTTAACAATTCTTATCTAATGTTTGTCAACAACACAAATGTAAAGTCTATGCATCTTCTATATCTTATGCAAAATTTTAATTTCTAGCAAGCCGCAATACTATCTGAAAATAAACGTACCAACTACGTTTATTTGTGACCATTAAAAAATTACTAACCTTAGAAATTAGGTTGTAAGGACCCCAAAATCGGTGTCTCAAATTCAATAGAGTTAATTTTATGCTTTGGAATTTTCCCTGCAATTATAGGTGCAACAACATTTTCTGCAGCCCTGCAAATAGTCTGTTTATACAAAATAGTTCAGCACATGCTAGTTACCTAAGATCTTTATGAGGAAAAACTTCAAAACACTATATTAAGAAATGGAGAGTACCTTATTGGCTTATCCAAATAAGGCCATATGTGCTCAGAGAAATTTATTGAGCCAGTTCACCTTCAGTAACACATAAAGAAAACAATTATATATACAGAACTAAGCAAATTTAAAGACAGGTTAAACATGTAACTGAATACATACACGGTCATAATCCGGATATTTAACCAAACGGGAGTTTCATAAAGTAATTGCTCCTAGCTTTGTGAGTCTCGCTCACCCAAGGGATGAATAACAGGATCCTAATAAAGCACAATGAATTTAATGTAGACAAATCTTTAAACAAAGATTGAAAAGGACAAAATCATACCGATACAAATACATTCTTCTTTTGGAGAAAAAATTTCCTACATCGGAAGATTTTCAATGAGTATCCTAGATTCTCTGATACAATAGTTTCTACTCTTTTGACATGTAATTGACATGGGAACTAAGTGCATACAACTGTATATAAAGGACTTGCGTTACACTCTTTAAATTCTTTTTAGACGTAGTCCAATTTTATAGATTTATCCAAGCATGATTTTCTATTTAGTTTCCTACTTCGTTTTGCTATGCACCCCAGGTGGTCGAACTCGTTACCTGAAGGAGCTTCAGTGCCAAAACAATAACAATAGCAAGCTTGACAACACTGTTAGGCGAACTATTAAAATAGTAAAACCACTGGTAAATGTGCAGAAGTGAGATGTATGAAGATTAAATTTGTAAGCAGAAGCGCACAAATAAAATAAGAGGGAGACTACCGTGTGCTTCATCAAGATAAGGAACGTGATGTTTCACAAGAACTTTAAAACCATTTTAAGCATGTACTATGCCACCAAACTTTGCAAAGAATTAATGTGAACTACTAAATCAAACAGAGCTATTAAAAGGAGAAAAAGCTAGAAAGTATTGATTAGCCTTAACAAAACCCATAAGCTTATTACAGTAAAAACAAATTACAAAGATGATGGAGCAAGGCCAATGAAAATAAAACTGTATATAGTTCCACAAACCGTTCGAACCAACAATTTACCCAATTCGAAAAATTTCTACCCAGCAGAAATTTCGAACAGGAAAAAAAGAAACCAAAACTCACCTTATAACTGTAAGCAAAACATAAAGAGCAACGACATGCAATTTCAAAGGACTTTTTGTCAGGCAAGTTAACTGGGTATAAGAGCTCCGTAAGCTTAAGCTAATAAGCTATAGCTGGTTTTTCAGTGTACAATCTAACACCATATTTCTTCTAAACTTTGTGAACAGAAACAAATCTCAAACTGCTTGCAAAGGAATGTATAAAGTTATTCTTTTTAGTTGGGACGTTTAGATGGCATTTTATTTCAATATTTTAAAAACTTAAAAACCTTTCAATGAACTAAAGAAGTTCAAAAACAATGAATATTCCAAGTGATGGGTTTTTAAGCTTAAATGTAGCTTAAAACAAGGTGAATGGGACATGCAAGGAAATTGAAAATATTTGAGTTTCCCTGTTTGACCAAGGGACAATGTCCCATATTGGAAAAGGAAAACGTTTTGATGGATATATATACAATTGCTCTTCTTCTAGCTCTTAAAGAGTTAAGAAGAAGGCAAATTTCGGCTTCGGATTCGGATTTTGGTCAATGATCGATTGATTGATTAATTTTTTGGACCAAATTTATTTGTTAATAGTAAATATTAACAAAAATGTTATTAAATATTCGTTTTTCTTGTAAACGAAAAATTAATATTAAATCCAACGGAACATTATATGCCCTTCGATTTTGTAAAAGCCATTAATGTTATGGCCGTTTTACACAAACAACCCTTCTAAAGAGTTGCACCTCTTCAGTTTTGAAGAGTCACACCTCTTTAGTTTAAGCTCAACATTGGATATAAATACCAACACCCAAACAATGGCATGCGAAATTTGACCAAACAATGTTGTCAAATGGTTTTAAGATAAATGAATGTGATAAATGTGTGTACATTAAAAATACTACAAATCACATAGTCATTGTTTGCTTATATGTGGATGATATGCTGATAATGAGTAATGACATTGCCAACATAAATGCGACTAAGTGTATGCTAACTAGCAAGTTTGATATGAAGGGCTTGGTAGTTGATGATTTAATTATGGGGATTAAGATCCATAAGACTCCTCAAGGTCAGGCATTGTCACAATCTCATTATATTAAGACAGTACTTGAAAAATTCAAGCACTTAGGGTTTAAAGTTGCAAAGACTCCAATTGACGTGAATCTTGCATTAGCAAAGAACAAAGGCCAAAGCATATCACAATTGGATTATGCTCGTGTGTTGGGATGCTTAATGTATATCATGAATTGTACACGACCAGATATAGCTTGTGCTATAAGTAAA